GAATTACAATGAATCCTTACATCTACTGGACCCCACTATAGCGGCTGCTACCTCAGCCTTTGTTCATCAATCTCAGGGCTTGTTGCTGGACTGCAAACAGAGGTATCTAACTAGAAATACCTTGTCTAATTTCAAAAACTACTAAAATATAGTAAAAAACAAATTAACTGAAATTAATCAAGAAATGGGAGAACTTAGAACAACTGTTCTACCAAGTAAGAGCTATTATAGATTACCTGTTATTTAGACATAATCTTGGTTGTCACCATTTTACAGAAATGTGCTGTTTAATATCTCTGATTTCTCTCCTACTATTGACAACTACATTGATGATTAAGAAGAAATAAAATCTGTCAACAAAAATTGACAGGTCAATATCTAAGATGGTTCTCCCACTTGGTGGCCTTCTCATATTATGGGCCTTTGCCCTCCAATGTGTTACTAACTTTATCGCCCATCAGGTAAAAAATTTTAGAATCACTGCCACTCAACAATACTATTAAAGACAGTTCCCTAAAGATTTGACAGGGATACATAAGTCAAGCAGGGAATGAGGAATCTTCCTGACTCCATTTTGAAGGCAGGAGCTACTAGGCTGTATTATTTAACAAAGAAGTTTCCATTTACTGTAAGAGCTGAGTTGCTGCTTTTAAGTCTGCTTCCTGGAGCTTGACCTGCTCCAACCTATGACCTTGACTTGTTGATGAGAACACCCTGACCCTCCCTAACCTTCTCCAATCACTTTCTCCGATCATAAGTCAACCACATGGTGTTCAGTATTTCTTATTACTGCATCATTTCTCTTCTGTAAATGTCCTTTGCAGTAACTACTTGTGACTTTACTCCTTAAAAGGGGACCAAGAAATGGACTTGGGGCTGCTTTCTTTAACTAGACTGAGGAGGCAGTCTCTGGTCAGTTTTTAGATGCATCCTAAAAAAATCAAGTTTCCTTCAAATTTGGCTCAAAATTGTGGTAGTGGTTTTATTCTTGCCAGGTGGATTAAGAGAGTAAATACAGAAGGGACTAGCTTTGGGGTCTTCTGGGTGTGGGATGGGAAAGCAGGCCTGGCATGGGTGAGGCAGGGACAAAGGCTAGATGTGAACGGAACCAAAGGAACTAGTGGGAGTCAGAGCAATCTGGACGACAACCCTAGAGCTCAGCTTTTAGTGTGAGGGAAGGTTTAACATAGGGTTTACATATTAATACAATCATTCTGGAGGCTAAACCAAGCTGTAGTAATAATTAGAGTGTGGACACAGGATGACTACCACTGCAGTCCAGACATGGTGACCAGAGGAGATTGTGGGAAGTGGTAAGAATGTTCTAATAATCATAGGAACTCATTCAACCACCAGCCAGTCTTCAATTCTCGGGCAGATTCCTATGCAACAACAACTTTCTGAAAGTTAGCATAGCTTTTCTACCAACTCAAATGGCACTAGTTTGGGCTAAAAATCCAAAGGTCTGCCAAAGGGAAAGCCTGTTCACTGAGATACCCTACCTTCCCATCTACCTTCAGATGCCCTGAGGTGAAATTTCTCTTTATTCAGTTCAAATGTAAATATTTACATTTGTATGTATACACACACACACACACACACATACTTTGTATGTATGTATGTATGTATGTATGTATGTATGTATGTATGTATGTATATATTCCTCCCCATAGTGAAGGAGGTAGCCAGACAATACAGCCTGAGGGATCTCGGCCAGTGCCCCCCTTTCTGAATCTTGAATGTCTGCTGCCACCAGATCTTGATGATAAGACAAACAGAATAGCCTGAGGCTTCTGCATAGGGGCAGACACTGGAGATCCTAGCCTCCTTAGTCCGGGTCTGCTGCATCAGTCACAGGTCTTCCATGCAGCAGCTAGGTCCACTGGGTGGAAAAAGGATGTTAATGCAGGGATAAGGGTGCGGAATTCCTCAACTAATGGAGCCAGATGGTGTGTAGAGTTATTTCTAGAACTAAGCAACAAGCTCAACCTAAGCAGCACGTAAGAGGCTATTGTCATTAGAACCTACTCTACATTATAAGGACACTACAACCATGTATGGGCCCCCTGCATCAGTAAAGGCCCATTAAGGAACCTTTCTTCTGCCTAAGAGGAAAATAAAAAATAAAATAAAGGGGCTGGAGAGATAGTTCAGTGGTTCAGGGCACTGGCTGCTCTTCCAGAGGTCCTGAGTTCAATTCCCAGCAACCACATGGTGGCTCACAACCATCTGTAATGGGATCTGATGCCCTCTTCTGGTGTGTCTGAAGACAGTGACAGTGTACTCACATATATAAACTAAAATAAATAAGTCTTAAAAAAATAAAATATCTGGCCCAGCTTGAGACATAAGATTCCAAGCTACCCAAACCAGCTTTATTGCAGTCGATCACCTGGGTAGGGGACCACACCTTGGGAAGGAAAAACTACTATTAGCTGTCCTGAAGAGGTAAGTGGAATAATCCCTTTAGTGAAATACTGGTTTTTCTTTTCCAGAATCTCTATTCCTAGCAGTCTCTAGCAACCACTGTAACATTCTGTTGGGCCTGTGGACCTTTCCATGTAATGTCCCTGTCTCTCTGGGAGTCTACTTACAGCCTAGTAGGTTTTAGGGTTTTTGTTTGTTTGTTTGTTTTCTAGAAAACAGTTTCCAAAGAATTCCTCATACTGTTTCTAAACCCTACTGTGTGCCATGTGGCTGACATCCACTTTGGCTTAACTTACACAGCATTTTCCTCCTCTGGGAGGCTGCTAAGAGTTATAGCTGGCCTGGCCTCATGTTTTTCTTTTAAAATCTAATAAAACTGTCCGTTTGAATATACTTTGGCTTTGACTTTCAAACTTTTCTTTTCTTTTAATTCATTAATCAGCAGGAAACAAATCTATTCCTGCACCTCTAGAGGATTCCTACAGGAACTGATCATCAGAGTATAATCTCAGAACCACCCTCAAGATTGGATACTTGGTAAGTATTTTCTAATTTAACTCATCATGGTCACTCAGGAAGCCAGACAGTGATCCTGGGGTTTGGGAGTGGGCTTCTAGTTCTGGCTGGAAAGAATCAAGCCCTTTTTTGGAGGAAGTAAGCATTTCACTGAGCCTGAGGGAGAAAGCTATGATCGTGCTCTAGGACTTCCTGAGCTCAGGAACCCCACAAGGAAAGGAACAAGAGAGATCCTGAGCCTACATTTAGGGTTTGAGGCAAGATGCAATCTGAGGGAAGAAAATCGGCTACTAAAAATCACTTAAATGCTAATGCTAGAGTTCTTGAGATGTGAGAGAGGTTTTTTTATGCTGAGAAGTGGAGAGTGACAAGTTGGAAACTGAGTCAACAATAAGAGAATGACGGTGTGAAGAGAGTATAAAAGGTACCAAGGGCTGTAACAAAGGCTGGAGGACAGGCTCACCAAAGGGCGGAGAGACAATGTGGTCAGTCAGCAAGATGGCAACCACTGATCAGGGCCTCGAGAGCCCACACTACTAGTAGTTATCCATTCTCAACAGCTTTCTCCTTCCCCCGTTTTATGGCTACATCTGTTCTTGAGACAGTCTGAGGCTATAAACTGGGAAGAATGTCAACATAATTACGAGAAAGTTTTCTGAAAATCCTCAGATCCAGGCATGGGGAGGTGGCTCAGAGGGTGAAGTGCTTGCAGTGGAAGCCTGAGGACTGGAGTTGAGGTTCCTCCAACCAGGAAGTACCCAGCACAGAGTGGCTTGCCTGCAATCCCAGCCTTCAGAAGGCAGGGAGAACAGACTCAGATGCAAGCTGACCAATCAGTCTCTCTCCATCAGTGAGCTCTGGATCCACCTGAGAGATGCCTCAATGAATAAAGTAGGAAGAGACTGAGAAAGACACCTGACTCAACCTTGGGCCTCCAACCCGGACATGACACTATATACAGGTGAGAAACAAAACAAAACTTAGACCTATATGTCAACTGAGGGAGATGACTCGGCAAGTCTGTAGTTAGTAATTTAGTAACTCAGAAGGATTTTCAGAGTTAATGTTTATATAAAACAAAAACAAACAAATTATCTCCTTCAGGAGAAAACTGTCTAAAATCCTGGAAAGGAAACCTGAGGTGGGTAGCCCTGTTTGACCTTTGCTCTGTATTTCCTACCTTCGAAAAAGGCTAAATGTCAGTACTTATGGGATGTAGATACTCCTCTTCCTCTACATCTTGCTAAAGCCTGGTGTCATTCCTTCTTTAAAACCACAGAGAAGCTCTCTGAGTCTTTCTGACAGGTGCATGTTTATACACAGGCCCACAGGAGAGTGCTAGAGGGAAGGCAGGGTCACAGCAGTTCACCTCTGGATCATCTTCACATGACAAATTCTTTTGTATTTTGCTTAGAAGTTTTTACCAATGTGTGTAATGATGTCTAACTCTGCCTGTAGTCATTTGTCCTATACTGTACACTCAAATTAGAACCTAGATTAAGTCTTGAACCTAGGCTACACCAGGGACTTGTCTTCCTTACCCAGACCCCTTTCGAACTCTGGATGTGAGACAAAATGGTAGATGGTTGGTGTTTAAGCAGCAGAATGACCTACCTGACACACAGAAAAGAGACTCACCCATAAGGGGGTTTTGGAGGAACTAGGAATGTGAAACAGCAAACAGTATATTAGGAAATAGCAGTTGTACCCACAATTTGTAACCATATGGCTGTGTTAATTCCTGGAGCAATAAAATTATATTGAATATGCAGTGAGCTGTTTTATGGTGGCCTTCTAAGGTCAAAATTACATGAAGTGTGGCTCAGCCCAGGGCAGAATGATGTCCCAAACTCAAATATGTTCAGAGAAAATTCAACAGATCCATACTGGATCTAATTTATTTTGCAAAGCAAGGTTTCTGAGTTCTTCCAAAAATAGTTTCTTACCTTGATCAACTTCTTTCATGGGGAATTACACTGGAAGATTCTGAACAAGCACTATTCAAAGAAAACTAGAGGCTCAAAGGCTTTGGAACCCCTACAATCACAGATACTCACCCAAATACCCAGCACTGTGTCCCTACACGCTTGCACTGTGTGTCTGTGAGGTAGGCATAGTACTGTCTGAAAGAACAGAATTAGAATCCATGAGACCTCTACACAATGGCATCACGTTGACAGAGGGAACATAAAATCTGCTCTGCCTTGTTTGCCATACTCCAGCAGCCTGGTCTAATTCGACACAAGGGAACAGACAGCCAGGGCTATTCAAACATTCCTGTAAGAGATTCTGAATTTGGGTCAGGTGGGAGTGAAAGGAGTTCAGCTTAAAGGATCATGCTATTGACAAAGGCAGCTTTGGTCTAGCAACATTTCCACAGTCCTGAGCAAGACAGCCTGAGCTGGATGTAGTTTCTCTGTGGAGAGGAGACCACTCTGGAGGATTAACTACAGGCTTCTTTAACTATCTCTTACGGTATCCTCAGGTTTATGGATGTTTACTGTAACCAGGTAAAAATGTAGACATCTTTGCCTTGCAGTAACTAAAAGGGCCCCAACTGCATTTCACTATAGCTGCGTACCAGGACTCTGAGTGTTGCTGACAAGATTAGCAGTGGGTGTTTAAGTGTTCTAAGCAGCACCCACGACTATGCCATTCAAATATTTCCAGCTGTCAAATGAAGATAAAGACAGATGAAAGTCACTTTAATAAAGTGACCAATACATAAGTTATATCAAAATACTAGAATAATATTTTGCATTGCCTTTGGATTAACACTTGGAAATCTGGTATGTTTGTTTACATGTGACTGGAGTGGGTGTCAGTAAGACAGTGTGGCTTGTAGTCTCAGAAATACTCCTCAGCTCTGTCCATGCCTACAGAAGCCAAGTGAACCAGAAGCTTACCATTTTGGGAGAATTACAGGTTCCCTTGAGGATTTGAGAATTCTATGGCAAAAAAAATATATAACATATGCACAAAAGACTTTACATTAAACTCTGTGGGACTAAGATATTATGCAATACTCATCCATGATCTATGATCTCATTACTTCAAAGTCCCCAATGAAAACATCTGAACACAGGTTTTCTCTCATTTACCCACATTTTTATTACCTTATTTGCATTTACTAGATGAACATGTTGTCTTCTAGAGAACAGTTTTTCTAATTTTGTTTGTTAGTGTTGGGTTATTGTAATAATGAACGATGATTAGAAGCAACGGCTGACACAGTCTCTTTGAGCAAAGTAGTCCCTCCACTTGTGTGGTTCAAATGGATATTTAAAATGATGATGTGGCTACCAAGATGGCTCAGCAGGTAAAGACACTTTCTGCCAAGGCTAACAATCTAGAGTTCGATTCCTGAGATCTATGTGGTGAAAGGAAAGAACAGACTCCTGAAACTTGTCCTCTGACTTCCACAAGGGTACTGTGGCACACTTGTGCATGAGTGCAACAAAAATGCATTTAAAATGAAAAAAGGTGGGGGTGGCAAGCTAAACAATTCTGTCTTTTTGTAAAAGGTAGCATAGGTTCTACCTGTTTCTTCAGCAAATCTCTGATGTGGCTACTGTACTCTTTATGAGCTATACAGTGTAAATACCACTTTAAAACAGGAAACTAACACAAGAGAAAAAGTTCCGCTTTAAGCTGCCCTTCATGAGTTTTCCTGAAGGGCAGTGGATAATGCCCTTCCTCTGGCTCTACGTGAATGCAGAAAAGTATTCGCAAGTACAGCTAAGCTCGTCAAGGCTGTCCTAGAGGACTACAGGGTACTTTAAAGGGAATCAGCTTAAATGAATCTCAACAAAGTTCCATTCTAAAATTAACATCTGTCGCTCATGACTTCAACTCTATACAAACTTTTCTACTTACTAATAATCTCATTTTAGGAAACCTCAGTGTCACCTTTACTGCTTTTTAACAGGATCTGTGAACACAGCAAGGACAGAGTACATAGGGGTTGAAAACAAGGGCATTTGTATGGGCGTGCCACTAAAGAGTCTCTTTCTTTTAAAAACTCTCACTGTTGAACTGAGGTCTCAGATAAAAACATTTTCTTCATATTCTGGATGAACACTTATTTGGAATGGCATTTTCACAGAAAATCTTCCAGTTGATGTGACAGACTTTATGCTAAGAAAGAAAACATACAGCAAGTATATGTCCTCAACAAATGGCAGAGGGACTGGGCAGAATTACCTCACTGTGGGAGCCGTAATGCAGCCAATGAAGAGAATTCTACACCAGCTTAAGGGATGGCTGGCTTGGAACACAAAGATGTGCTTCAAGAAGAAGGTATTCAACTCAGTCAGCTGAAGAGAAGAGAGATCAGTCATCCTGGTGTGCAAGACTACATCATGAGCATACCAGTCCTCAAACAGGCACTCTGGAGCTAAATAACCAGTGTATCTGAAGCATTTTCAGAAAATAGAGGAGCTTTCCCAAAAACTGATACTTAAAGTAGTAACTAACAGCCAGTACTAACCACTGACCAACTGGGAAGTAGCAAGTATGTGTGCATGTGCATGGACATGTATGCCTGCAGTGGAAGGAAGGGGGGTGTGACCTCTAGTCATCGAGTAACTGAAATGTTTTCTATTTTGCATCTCTGTCACTTAGCTCCTCTGTGTGATCTGCTGGGACAGACTCTGACCCCAGGGAAAATCATGCAAGTCAGAGGCTCATGTAATTCAGAGGCTCATATTTTAAAATTTTTCCACACTGAAGGAACTCCTTGGGCAGAATAAGCTAGCCTTGGAAATCAGGCCAGTTCTAAAGAAAAGTCCAACTCTAAATAAATCAGCACTGACCTATGACACCTGAAGTCCATCTGAGAGGTGACTACAGAGGCGTATTGTGTGTGTGTGTTCAGGGCAGACGCAATTTGTGTTGGTAGTGTTCCAGGATAGGATCTTACTATGCAGTGCTGGTTGACCTGGTACCATTTAGCCAAGGTTAGTATTGAACTTGCATTAATCATCTTGTCCCATTCTCCCAAGGGTTGGGATGATAAGTGTGCAGCACCACTCCCAGTTTGCAAGGATTTTTGGGAACTATTTTTATTTACTGTTGGCTGAATTTTCATATCAATCTTATAGATATAGAGGCATAGTGACATCACTAAACCAAAGTAATGATTTATTTATTTACACCTCTCCATCTATCAAGAAAGGAATTGCTTCCATGTGTGAACAAGATTTTTTTCTTCTTAAAAGTGATATGTTCTGATCTTTTCCACTGTATTTTAATTTTCGGTTTTGTTTTGTTTTTTGGTTTTTCGAGACAGCGTTTCTCTGTGCAGCCCTGGCTGTCCTGGAACTCACTCTGTAGACCAGGCTGGCCTCGAACTCAGAAATCCGCCTGCCTCTGCCTCCCAAGTGCTGGGATTAAAGGCGTGCGCCACCACAGCCCGGCTCTGTATTTTAATTTTCAAAATTCCCATTTATTTATATATTTATTATGTGTGGTGTATATATGCAACCCAGTGCATGTGTGAAGGTCCAAAAATTTTGTTTGATGATTCTTACAGAGCCTTTAGGCAAAATCTAGCTTCCCATGGTGAGTCACCAGAAGCTGTACAAACCCCTGAAGACAAGAACAGGGGGAAAAAAAGTCTGAGGCATGAGCGTTCTTCTCTTGTGACTATTGAGATTTCTTCTATCTGGAATTTCTGCTTGTTTCCTCCAGTTTTCCCCAAAATCCACACTAACCAATGTTTCCATTTCCACAGCACAGCTGTGGACATTATACAAATAAGAAAAAGCTAAGATACAATTTTGTACACAAAAGAGTTAGGAATACAAAATTCAGTTAGAAGGTGTTTATATTACAGGCACAAGGACCTAGAAAAACCAGCTGTGCTTCTTTCTAATAAGGAAAAGACAGAGCTCAACAACCCATTTAAGAGTCTCGTTTTTTGAAACTGCCCTTCAGTATCTGTTGAAGATGGGTTACATGACATTCCTTGGACACCATGGGTGCTATACCCAGCAACACAAAAACTAAAATTAAAAATTAAATTAAAAAATAAGGAAAAGTCATCCCACAGTTTCTTTGGTTTTTAAAATTATTCTTCAGAATGTTAATACCTAAGTTATTGGGTGCTAAATATGACCATTTCTAGGAAATGAGTTTCTAATTTATAACTCAGAGGCTCATATTTTAAAATTTTTCCACACTGAAGCAATTCCTTGGACAGAGGAAGCTAGCTTTTAATTGCCTTATATGTCAGCTACAAAAAATCTCTTCCAAAGTATCCAACTGAAATGCAATCTACCAATAATTCTAGACTTTAAGAAGATTTATGTTTTTTTTTCCCACTTAGAATGGGTATTTATAAGATTACCTGCCAGATGATCATGAAAAGGTATATACCAGCCACTCTCTGAAAGGAAGACTTGGGGTCAAACCACCTGACATAAGTCCAGCTAGCAGGAGTGAACTGTAGCACAGCACGCTTGATCTTCCCTGTGGTGGTGTGGATATCCCTAGGAGAAGAGAATGAAAACCATGAAAATCGAGGGGTAAGAAAGAGGGAAAAAGTAAAACCTGAACTGATGATACTCCAGCAAGTGCTCAGAACAGAGAAAGTCATTTCTATTGAAAGAGTTTCAAACAAAGGTCCAAGAGGCACACTGGATTGGGGGCTGGGAGTTTCAGGGATGGGCAGGGCACAGTGATGTCAACAAGATCAGGAATCTTGGTGCAGCTGAGCTAAGATAAGGCTCAGTTTGTAAAGTAGTGTCAAATGGAAGTTAAATAGGCACTGACGACATAACCTAGAAGCACCCAGAACGAATGTAGGTGGAGCAAGGATTCTATTCCAGTCCAGTGTGTCTCATAAGGGGGTGTTGTAGGCTTCATGAGCTCACCAATACCATTTATTCACCCCTGTACTTCCCTAGAGTTTGGGGTAAGAACAACATCACTTTTCATGAGTTTAATCCTGGGAATCACTCATTCAAATGCCTCATGACAGGAAAAAATGTATCTTACATGTGAGAATACTTAGGCTCAAAAATTGGGTGGTGTAGACCAGCTTTGTCAACATAGGAACTGGGTATAATCCCAGCATTTCAACTAAGGCAGTTAAGCTGAAATCCAGGCCATTTAAATACCCAGTGGGGAATCTCATTCAGCAGAGGTTTATAATGAGGACTCTTGTGTTTAGACTGTGTGCTCAGTGTCAATGACATAAATAACATTTCAAACCTTTATTTCCAGAGGGAGAGAAGGCGGAGAAGAGCAGGTTAAGTCTCTTATCCAGCAGCCTTGTATGTCTTCTCAGCATAAAAATGTGCTGGGAAGACATCCTAACAAGGTTGGAGTCACAGTAGCAGTGAGAACAGAGACTGCCCAATTAACAAGTATGGCAAAGGACCTTATTTTCAAAATGCCAAACTTAACAAAACAGAAATAGAAAAACATCACAATTCATATACATAATATTTAATGTAGCAAAGAGGCTAGCTTAGCTTAAAATAGTCTATATTCATTTACATATTGAGCTTATGACCTGGCAAAATGGTTCTATTGAACTTGAGAGGGTAAATGAAGTATTGTGGCTGTTTTTGAGTCAGCCTGGTATCAGTTCACACTCCACTGTTTAGTGACTGTGTGTCCTCAGGCAAGTTACTGAGCCTTGGCCTTACTATTGTCATCCCCAAGAGAAGAGCAGTTGTCTACCCTCAGAACTGATGCACGGCTCCAAAGTAGCACTTTCCTCCACTTCTTGGAGCAGTGTTGAGCCCAGACGGTAGTTAAACAGTAAATTGTCTTTAAGTAATTATAAAGGCCTCACATCAATAGGCAAATACAGGATTATTAGTAAACCAAAGAGGGTAAGGTAGTAATTACTGGCCAAAGGTATAAAATCTCTCCTCTGTAACACATACCAGTATAAACCTGCCCTAGGCTGAACATGGTCATGTAGGCTTACAATCATTCAAGAGGCTAAACTGGGAAGATAAAGTTCTAGGTTAGCCTAAGCTATATTAGTAGATTTCATCTAAAAAACAAAAATCAAAAAAAAAACTCAGACAAACAAATAATAAACAATAAATCAAACATATTATTCTAGAGAAAAAACACACAATTGAAGAATTGAAAGAAGAGGGCAGGCCTGCAATCCCAGCCACTAGAAGCTTGATTCAAAGCGTGTATGGGATACAGAGCGAGTTGAAGGCTGTCACTGTAGCTTAATGTGATTGGAGGAAAAAAAGGACTCGGAGAGACGTGGTGGTTCGAAACTTGCACAGCATACGCAGGCACTGGGCTCAGTCCAACTACTGTGGGGGCAGGGTATGCCAAAATGGAAAACTAAAGTTCTATTTATGGCAACATCCAAGTATTCTTGAACTATAAAAGGCAGTGAAAAGAGAAACTCCAGAAGAATTAGGCAGAAATCCTTTCAATTTAATGTGGGATAAATCTGAAAGGTTTAAAATTAGATTCAAGGAAACAGTGAATAAATACATCTACACGTTGAATATAGGTGAGACTGAAATCAGTACTCTTAATTACAAGAAGCTTGCCAATTAAAAAGGGAGAAAGGACTAGAGATGGACATATAGATACACATATATGTCATAATTTCACTGTAGCCTTTGTTAACAGTAAAACTCTGGGAACACCTGAATGATCATGAACCAGTCACTGTGGAGCCGTAGTGGCCCAGAGACATGGAGGAAGGGTTGAGACAGTTTCAATCCTGGAAACCTCAAAGACAGGAAGGCAGGAGTTGGCTATCTTCCCTGTTCCCAACCTAGCACCAGAAATCTGCCTCTCACCATCAACTCTAGGAAGAATTTATTACCTTGACAGTTATCAGAAGTCACTCTCTTTGATCTTATAAGGTCACCCCTCAACCCCAGCCCCCAGCCCAAACCCTCAGCTTTGAATATGCAGATGGCTTCATCTTCCAACATCCCTGTCCTGGCCAATTGTATACAACCACATGTTGCCCCAGAGACCCTGGCCACCTCCCCAGGAGCATAAATACCCACTCCCACCCTCATTAAACTGAACAAGTTCTCTGAAGCTATTCCTGTACGTGTATTTATTGCTCGAAAACCTGACCAAGACCTTGCATGGTATTCACATGCCTGGGCTAAGCTTCCCTCACTCTAGCCCAGCACTGTGGAGAAATAGACAGGGAGCACATTCCTATTTCATGGTTTGTCTGTAAGCTGAGATATATATGGAAACCCCTTTAAAATCATCTCTTGGAAGAACAGCAGCTGATTTAGGGAGATGCTCATATTCCACGATATAAATTTCCTAATGCAATGGAAGCATCTACTGCCATTGCCACACCTTGGCTCTTGTCCTCACCCATGGCACGGCTCCTGCCACAAGCTGAACAGCAAGTTGAACTAAGCACAACACAGCAATGGTGATAACACAAACTGCCCTCCTACAAGCACAGAGAGATGTGACACTCAAGCTAGAGTCAGGATAAACTTCCTGATATTGACAAGTAATCACAGTCAGTAAAGGAATGCAGAACAGCCTAGCTTTCAGAATGCAGACCAAGTCTCTGGTACAAAAGAAGCTTGTGGATAGCCATGGGACTTTGGGTGCCTGGCATGACATAGCAAAGGGTCTTCTCTCCTAGGCCATGAACAGACACTTCATACTTAAGACTGAAGAAGCCAAAACAGGTGTGTGGTGGTTGGAATAGAAAGGGCCTCGCAGGCTCATAGGGAGTAGCACACTTAGGAGCCTTGTTGCAATAGGTGGGGCATTTGTGGAGGAAGTATGTAACTGGGGGTGGGCTTTAGGGTCTTAGACGCTCAAGGCAAGCCCACTATCACTGTCTTCCTGCCACCTGCAGAACCAGATGTACAATTCTCTATCAGCTTCTTCCCCAACACCATGCATCCCTGTGTGCTGCCATGCTGATAATGGACTGTACCTCTGAACCTGTGAAGCAGCCTCAATTAAATGTTTTGCCTTATAAGAGTTACAGGGGTCATAGTGCTTCTTCGCAGCAACAGATCTCTCACTTACACAGAATGTGACATGATAAACCTAACGCTTTCAAGAGCTCATTCAAACAATGGTCTGATCAAAGCTGGGAGACGCTATCCCCAGGGGCAGACCACTTAACCTGGAGACGATCAGGCTCAGGAAGTGAATGAACTAAAAGGAATGGCTGTGAGAATTACTTTGAACTAAGAGCATGCTTAGAGCCTTTAAATAAACAGGGTGAAAAAGACAGAAGGTTGTATGATTTAGCACTTTCTACACCTTTTTGGTGTGTGTATGTGTGTGTTTTAAGACAGAGTCTCACTATGTAATGCCAAGCTGCCATGAATAGCACTTCATATAGCCTTGAACTTGCACAATCCTCCTGCCTCAGCCTCCCAAGTGCTGACATGATGCGTTAATAACTATCTCAGCAGCATTTTCTAGATGGATGCTTGAAATCAGATTCATAATTGCTTCAATTATAAGTGTTTCACTTGCCAAAGTGTATGCATCGGTTACTATGAGACCGTACTAACCCACTGACAGTAAAGCACAAACGGGACAGACACACACCGTGACCAAGGTTCCAAAGAAGACTCACTTGAAGCTTGCCCAGTGGTAAGTCCTCATCTCCAAAAACCGGCAGACGACCATGCCCAGCCAGATTCCACCACCATTGCACAATAGGATGTCCAGAATGACCTGGTCCCACCAGCACTCAGCAAAGTTGGGCAGAAGATGCATGAAGAAAAGCTGAGGAACACAAGAGATGACAGTTGGGCAACCAATGGGGCACATCATGCATATACATTTCTTTTTTAATATGTTTAATATGTTTTAGAAGATGAGTTTCCTTTTTCCCCCAACGTATACAAAACAACCGTAACAAAATCTGAACAAGGCTCTTGCTTTCTATATTGAAGAGTGCTTTTTTTTCCAAACAACATTTGCCAAAATAGTTCTCTTTTAAAAACAGAGCAGAATAAAAATGGATTTTTAAGGAACAGTGGAAGTTGAATTGAGTCACACTGGCTAAGGGCACACAGAAGTTTTATCTTCAAGGAGAATAAAAAGAAAGTTTCGAAGCTGACAACAAAGTGTAGCAAAATCCTCAAAAGAAGAAAGCAAGCTGAGTGTTTGGGAACAATCCAGTATGGTGCCCAAACATGAGTAACTGTAAAAGAACCAGAAAGGTTGGTTGTTGATGGCAGTGAAGGAAACTGGAGGCTCAAAAGAATATCTCTGACTACTGGTGGCCAGTGGTGCCATCTTTCAATAGGCACCATGATATGCGTGGTGGCCAGTCAACAGGAAGACTAGGCTAAGTATCTGAAGGTTGAACCTCAAAATACACCAGCAAGGGGGTTGGGGGGTCAAGTGCTGCAGTGGTGACATCTGAGACTTGTTTCTGGAAGGAAACCATGGTGGAGTGGAAATGTGAACAGAAATTACAGAGTACTTGGATCTGAGGCATGCAGACATGGGTCACGTGCTCTTTAGGCAGACAGGAGGTGCTCTTTCTGAGTCTGAACATGGAACATGGGTAGTAAAAAGGTGGAAAAAGATTATAGCCAGGGAATGAATAGTTTAAAAGGTGAGGAACAGGAAAGAGGAAAGGGCTGGCCTAGGCTCTGATGGAGAAGGTGTTCAAAAACACAAAAAAATGTAGACAAATGGCCCATGAGCTTGAGATGGGCTCAGCGAGGTCAGACTTGGCTACAGTAGTCAGTTCCTCTTGGGATTCATAAGCTGACTTTAAAGACCAATGAACCACTAAAGAGTGTGTGGGAAGAGGAGGCCTTGATATGATGGGGTACTGGAAAGGATCGTTTTCACAACAGTGTGAAGAAAACACTTCAGACAAAACAAAGATTAGACATGAATGGGAACAGAGGAATGAAAGACTTCAGTGGCTGTACTCCAGGACTTAGGGGCCAGAGAATCCTGGGGAGTAGCAAAAAGGGACAGAGGATAACCCTGCCAGGTAAGGGAAGGCAATGGAGTCTGAGAAAGGCCTGTGCTTTACACAGTCACAGAACACCTGGGCAAGGGAGCTGCTTACCCAGGTAGGATGTGATGTAATGGCAGGAAGGTGGGGTTTACACCTGGGATGGAGTGTGACTCTTCTACAGTGTCAGCCTGAACTCAGTGTCCTTCCTCTGCACAATCCTCAGCTGATTGGGAGAATTCTTACTGGGAGATAAGGGACTAAGCAGTGCTATGTGTGAGCTGAACTTCATCCTCTAAGAATTCTCTTGCCTTGGCCTCCAGTTCCTTAGAGGGCAAACTCACTTGGAACTTTAGTCACTGCACAAGTAGCAACTTAAGCAGAGTTCTTACTGAAACCAACCGAGTAAGGCCTGACCTACTTATGGTTCATGTCCTTATAAAAAGAAGTCCACGGAAACTCGTACACACAGGGAGAAGGCCACCTGATGATAAAGTTAGAAACCAGGCTCATGCATCTTTAAGTCAAGGAATGCTAAAGACTGTCCCAAGTGGGCAAAGGCTCTTAAGAGGGAGACTTGGGTTGGGTGTCCACAGCACTGTCAGAAGGAAGCAATCCTGCCCATAGCTTGATTGCAGACTCTAACCTCCCAAACTAGGAACACAGTGACAGAAGCTTACCTAATTGGAATGCTTTTGTATATTCAGGTCAGCAATAGCTGGCATTGAGAAATACATTGTACACATAGTCAAATTCTGTGTCTTGGGAATGATTAGTAAATATTGAACTAATTGGAAGTAGTTCTCCAACTTTCAGTTTGTTGATAGCTTCCCTGGGGGTGTACTTCTCATTAATTAATGGGTACTACCTCTTGATAACAGGTCATAGGGCTCTACTGGGAAGTCCCTGAGAGAGAAAACACCTGTGGATCCTCTTATGATCCAGAACACCCAGTCCCACAGATCTAATAAGAAAACTAGTGCATGGGTAAGTCCATCACTTACTTCTACACAGATTTCCTCTTTACACGGATTTGTCTTACTTTGGACTCCAACTTCATTCGTTTACTTGGTTTCATTTGTTTTACTTTAAGACTTACCATAAAGGAGCACAAGTTCTTAAGGACACAAAAAATTTGTTTTGGTTTTGCTTTTTACATAAAAGTACACAGTATTGTCATGGGGTGTATAAGTTCAATATTGTTCCCCAGGGGCTAGAGGATGAGCTACCATCTAAGAAGTCACAGCCTCCTCTACACACACTGTCACCGTGACTCCACAGCCTGGTGAGACTTTTGTCCATGTCGTACCTCTGTCAGCTCCCAGGTGATACTGATGGTCCAGCAGAGCCCATAACTACGGATCAACAAGGCCTTCATGGCCCAGCCCCAGAAATGCCCAAATGCAAATATATCAAAGTGACTAACGATTCTTTCCCAGGTGATCACGTGACAGTTCACAGCATACTCCTGGTTAACATAAAGAAGTTCAAACATGTTAACTGGTTGCATAACAAACACGATTTAAAATTACTTACAAATATATAATGTATTCAAAGCTGAAATTAGAATTAGCCTACCGTCTAAGAAATCGTAGCTTCCGTTATACACACTGTCACCGTGACTACATAGCCTGGTGAGACTTTTGTCCATGTCGTACCTCTGTCAGCTCCCATGTGATACTGATTTTCCAGCAGAGCCCATAACTACGGATCAACAAGGCCTTCATGGCCCAGCCCCAGAACCAACATTCTTAAATGCCTGGGAACTTTCAGCTTTGAGTTTATATAATAATTAATGCAGTTTTAGGTGGGGACTCTTCTGTTTAAAGTAATTCAGGCTTTTCATCTTCCTCAGAGGTCACTTGCCTGGATCTTCTCAGCATTTTCACTGTCATTGGGAATTTACAAATATTCCACAAGGAGTTCCTCTTCAACCCATGATTTCTTCTTCAACTCAAGATTTTTAGAAAGTGTTTTTACATTTCCAGGTCTACTGGATTCTTTATGTTTCTACTGCTAGCTTCTATTCAGCTTCTCTGTGGCTAGGTACATGTAATGTCACTTTTTAAAGATATGTTGAACCTTTGTCTAATTACTTTCTTAACCATTTTGTCCCAGTGTTGCACCTGTCATTTAGAAACTGCCAATTACAAACTCTCCTTAAGCTAACTCACTCGGAAACTAACAAGTTGCTCTAAGACTCCTGCTGTTAAAGCTTTTGCTACAGAATGTGCATGAGTGTGGAGTCCTAGTGATCTCTTTATTCACCACAGGAATCCTACAGGCAAGGTCCCAGATTCTGCAACAGTATACTTTTCCTGGCTGGCAGAGACACTCTGGGACTGAAACCATTTGCCAATTAATTTACGGAGAGTGACAAGGTACCAGCAGCCCATAATTCTTCAACCTTTCACCCTATGATTACTCTGGAATAGATTGCTTAGGGCTAGCTAAAGACCTAAGTCGGGAGTTTCTGTTTTAGCGGCCCACTCAGCGTAATCACAAGCTGGAAGTGGTTCTGGGGGATTTGTAAATGTATGCTTTCATTGAACAAAGATACTTTAAAAACTATAAAGAGCCAATCTGAATACCCCAGCATTAGAATTTTAAAGAGTAGATTCACCAATTAATCCCTAGAAAGCCCCAATTAACCACCACCTCTGAGGTCCTTGCTGCAGGGCAGGCAGTTTGGCTGCTTCCTCCCTCTTCCCATGAGATAGATCCCAAGATACCTGGAGGATACCAAAATCCAGATCCTCATGTCCCAGATATCAAACAGCAGTTTTGTATACAACCTACACACACCCTCCTACATACTGTAAGTCATTCCTAGGTTACTTGTCCTACCTAACACAGTACAAATTCTCTGTGTGGTTTGAGGAAAATGACAAGAAGTCTGTCCATGTTTGGTAAAGTGGCAACTGTCTCTCCCTAATATTTTTGATCTGAAGTTAGTTGATACAAAGGATGGTATATGGCACCAACTGTGATGAAGCCACAGTAAGAATGGAACAGGAGGTGGAATCCCAACCTAGCCTGGGGTCGGTTAGTTTTTCTGCCAGCTTGACACAAACTAGAGTCACCTTCGGGGAGACTTCAACTAACAAATATGTTTCGCAGATTGGTCTGTGGGATACTCTCTTGACTAGGAGGCCTAGTCCACTGAGAGCAATGCTCCTACTGGGCAGATCCCGGGCTATTTAAGAAGCAAGCTGAACAAGGCAAGAGAGCAAGTAAGCAACATCTGCTGCTGCATGAGTTCCTGCCCTAACTTCCTTCAGTGGTCACCTGGAACTGGGACACGGAAGCCAAATAAACTGTGTCCTTCCCAGGCTACTTTTGGTCATGGTATTTATCACAGAATAAAAAGCAAACTAAAACAAGCCTTTATTCCTGTTTCTAGTGTGCAGGAAATCTGGGTGTGGGAGTGGTACAGAAAGACAAATGGCCATGTCCTGAAGGCAAGCCACAAAAATCCAGGCACAAGAAACTCCAAGAGATAAATAAACTATAAGGAAAAAGAAAGCATGCATGGGGAAACCATTGATGAAAAGAGTCTTAGATTACATCAAACAACAACATGATGACCTCGTTGGCGCCATGTTGTGAATAAGTGAGATAGAAAACATCTATTATGTGAGCACCAACTCCACAGAGCTGTGAGGTGTTTGTTGGGAAAACAAAAGGAGTTTATACACCTTAGATTACTATTGGATAGCAGAGTTAAAATGGAATGAGGGTGGACAATGGTAACACCAACCACAAATCAACACTTGTTGAATGTGGGCAATGACTATAAGAGGACCTGAGTCTTTGTACTCCTATACGTGCTTAAAATTTATAAAAATATGTTGACATTTCTTGAAACTTTGCTGAAATTGTTTTATGGAACAATTGCCAACAAATTTTTCTTCAGCTTTAGCTATCTGTAACTCTAGCCTCCAAACAATGGGGAGGCTACTCTCCTGTTTCCACCTATCACTAGCACGGCGCCAGCACACAGGGACTGCTCAGTCATACCAAGACAGCTATACTTCAGACAGACTAACTTTAAAATGATTGCAAAATAATTCTCAAAATAGCTGGGCTGTCCAAACTTGTCTAACACTTAGGGCACATGTTTTAATATATATTTTTTTAAATCTTATTTTGGTTTTAGGGATTGATCTCACGGCCTCATGTAATATTATCACCACTGAGCTCCACCTCCAGCCCAGAGTTAGTCACATTAGAACGAAGGAAACTATCCACTATTAGATAAGAAGCTGACTCAAGGTACAGACTAGTGGTACAAGCCTATGGTATGTCATGGCACTTAGGAGGTAGAAGCAAGATGACCACTTCAGGGCCATCCTTAGCTACACAGTGAGTTGGAAGCCAGCACGGGCTATTTAAGAACCTGTCTTAAAAGAAGAAAACATGAATAAATACACAAATGAAAAATAAATTGCCTCTATTAATATTCATAACTCCACCCCTGACACCAATTTATAGAAGAAATTCTAAATAAAAATGTAAACCCGAATTCCAACACATAGAGTATATCAAAATCAGGAGCTGTAAGATAAAGGAACGGCATGAACAGTATAGCCCCAGGTCCAGTATGACGCACAGACTATATTTACTCAAAGAGACCTGCCTGCCTCTGCATCCTGAGTGATTAAATGTGTGCACAAACCCACCTGGCTCTCCTAGATGTTTTGTTACCTTAGTGGAAACCTAATATAAGCATCAGCAGCACCACAAACAACTAAGTTACCCTCTGTCATTCTTTTCCTTGAGAGTGAGAAATCCTAATTAGGTTTCTACATAATTCCAAGCTCTTGGTTTTGCTTTTATCGTGTACCCCAGGACAGTTAAGATAAACACTTATCAGAGATAGCCATTCTCCGATGATTACTTCTTCATCTTTTAGTCCTTCTCTTATTTCTTAATTGCCAGAGCAAATGTCTGTGCTCCAAATGCTTATTCTTTCTCCAGAACACCACCAGCTTTTTCTTTAACCTTCACTGGATAGTAGGCCTTCAAAACTCTAGACAAGAATGTCACAGTATGAAACAACTGCTACTGACTTTGGTTTTAGTCCCTAGCTCCCTTGCAGTTCTGAGGAGAAAGGGTATTGAGTACATCTTTTGTTCTAATGCTCTTTGACCTGTTTCAGGAGAGTTCCTAATGCCCTGGAAATCACAGTGGTTGTAGTGTCTCTGACTTTAAAGAGCCAGTAAGTGGTGCCTCCTGGGTTGGAAGCTGAGCACCAAAAGACAAAGGTGTATTGGAAGTGGGAAGTTTCCAGTCCCACCCTATATTCTGTGACAAAACCTCCATGGAAGCTCCTTCATTAAAAGGCTTGGAGAGCTTTTCGGAGAGCTGCATGTTGGGACTGTGGTATACCTTACCACTAAAGGAACCTCTGCCTCATACCTCTAAAGAAGCTGCTGCACCTGGAACCCTGCCGGCCCTCCAGCTAAGTACTTATTTTCTGGGTATTCATCTGCATCCCATGTCACATCCTTTAAAATAAATGGTGTAAAAGGCATCCCTGAGTTCTATAGGCTGAACTCATGAAGACAGTGGAATGCTCCTTCGTGAGGATGGCCATTCAGAAACATGGGAAACTCACATGTGAAATACAGACAGTTCTGAGGAATGACTTCTTAGTTTTGGGGTCTAACAGTAGATGCAGGCAGTGCTGCTCATGTCAGGAGAGCTGGAAGACTGATTCGTATGGGCAAAACCCAAGATAACCTCATCACAGAGATGATCATTGTGAATGTAAAGAAAACAATGTTGTTTCTTCCCCAAATAGTCTTATCAATAAAAGAAAGTGAAAATAAACGTTTTAGGTAAAACTAAAAAGGGTTTGTGTGTGGGTATGTGAGTGTGTATGTGTGTGTGTATGTGTGTGCATGTGTGTATTCTAAACATGTAGTAATAAAACAGCTTAAGTCATCATAGTTAGCCCCTCTGTAACATGTGGGTAAAATCTGGCTACAGGCACATCTAGCAGAGGTGCTGAACATGACTAATTAACAGCAGTAGCTGAAGAGTGTGTGGCAGGCACTGTGCAGGCCTTGTGGGATGCACAGACTACATTACTCTGTTCAGTTCACACCATGCCCTTCCTACCCACCATATGCATTACCATTTTCACCAAAAAGGGAGCAGGCTATTAAGTACTTTGCCCAAAGTCCTACGACAGATAAGTGGTATGAGCAGAGTTCAGGCCAAAGGCCATGTGATGGCAGTGTGTGCATTCTTCTCAGCATGCACTCTCGTTTCATGAGAGTGTTTCATTTCCTGAATGGCATCATTTTGGAAAATCCATACAATGGTGCACCCTGAGATCCAGTTTTAGCTATACTACCATGAAATAAGAAGATCGATCAACTTAAAATGTAGACCCATATGGCCAGGACCATATCAAGTTAAGAACATTAACAAGAACATACCATGATGTCTGCTTCTCTTGTGGCATATCGAAGATTGGGATCCAGCCAATACATCAGGGATTTAACCTGCTCGAAGTTCAGGAAAAGGAGGAATACCAAGAAGAGGAAGTACAGCACACTGAGGCCTGACAAAAACAAAACAAGGTCAAGGTTAGGAGAGACACACATCAGACTCAATGGCTTGGAGTTACAGTATATATGAATCTCACAATGTAGCCTTTTGAGAATCTATCATAGCCAGGTGCTTTTTTGTTGAGAGGATCGGATACACAGTCCTAATTCAGGTGGAAAAGAATCTCCCTCTTTGAGGAAATGATACATAAGTTAAGCTGTGAAGGACCAGCAGCCAGAGAATATGTAGGCTAGGCTTGACAGAACATTAAGTAGAGAAAGGCCATGTAAATATGTCCCTGAAGAAAGAGTTAACTCATCATGAGGCTGGGGTACTGGTAGAGAGGGGGAATGGACTAAGGGGTGCTGAAGTGACAGGATTAGGGGGCAAGGCAAGGCTTTCTGATTTTATCCCAAGGTCAATGGGGAAATCAGATGAGTGAATCAATGTTTTATGAAGCTGAATGAGCAGATGACGGTGACAGGTGGGGCATCTGAGACTCATCCTTCAAATTAGCCCTGGCAGGTATGATTTTCTTGTCATAGCGACCATAACTGCTATCCTAACTCTCCATGCCATTTAAAACAGTAAAGGCACTAATACACTCCAAGGCAAAATCAAGATCAAAAGACTCAATTCCCCATCCCAACCCCAAAGTGGGCCTGTGATGTATTTTGTTAAGCTGGAATTAGATCAGAGATGCAGGGCATCCTGGAACTGTCATGCTGATTGCCTTGAATCACAAATGTGGCTTAGTTCTGACCACCAGCTTCCCTAGAGAAGAGAATGTGCATGGCTGGTATGAATCCATAGCCAGGGGTTTAGCCTCAGGCCTTCTAGCCAGGCCCCTCTCCACTCACTCACCAAGGAGAGTATTGCATTGAGGCCCCCTGTACAGTTGGGTCAACACAGCCACACATCCCAGAGGCAAGGAACATAAATTTTCTGACATATAAGAACTACCTTGGTTTTGAATTTATGCACCAGTTTTTCAAATTTTCATCTTTAATGATTGTAATTTAAAATTACAATCTTTGTGAGATAATTCTTTTACCATAGAAATGATCTATGCCATAGGAATATTTAGGCTAGAGTTCTAGGCTGAGCTTCAAGCACTGTGAAACCTTCAATACCACAGCAAAAGTGGTGTACGTGTGTGTTTGAGTGCTCAGAGTGCTGGGGACTGAACTCAGTTCCCTGAGCTTGTAAAACAAGCTCTGTAACAACTGAGCTACCTCTGTAGCACCAGGGAGATCGATTTCAAACAGTAAATACAATCATTCTATCCTTCTAGGAAAGCTCTCCGATGTCCTTTGCACCCACACTCCTTACCCTGCCCACGAATCTGAATAATTTTGTACATGCTGGCTCTATGCTCTTTTGTTCACTGCTCTTCCCCCACCCAACAGGACAGCCCTGGCATGGTATTTTGATGCTAATTCCCCTTTCCTGTGAAGGGTCTCGGAGGAGGATCCAATCAGTACGCCGGTGACTTCTATTGAACTTCTGCCCACCTTAATTTGTAAAATAAAGGCTAGAGCCAGTGATTGGGCAGAGAAGGGGAGATAAAAGTTGGTGGAAAAGGGAGAGAGAGGAGGAAGACAATGGAGGAGGAAGATGACTGAGGAGAAGATGACAGAGGAGCAGGAGGTGGAAGGACAAATGCATGACTTGGAAAACCCACAAGTTATAAGAGTCTCATAGCTGGGGAATAGAGTAGTGAAGTGGTGAATCGGCCCAATCTAGGCATGCAGCTTATATTCATAATTATTGAGTTGTGTTTTCCTTGACCGGTCATATTTGGGTTAGAGATTTACCGCAACACTATAACATGCCAGGTACTTTCCAGCCATGAGACTGGCCACTTAGCAGCCGTTCTCTCTTAGCTGAAGGTCCTGCTCCCTGACTGCTACGTGCACAGACACTTAGTTGCATCTAAACTTTACACTGAGTGTCACTCCCTCAGGCCTCTCCTCACTACTTCAGTGGAAGCAGCCAAGTGGCTATCAACTCACACAGTTATAAGTAGCTAATGCTTAGTAATTTTTTACTATTAAATTTTTAGTAGTTTGCTTATTATGGCTGGCCTCTGGTCCTTGGGTGGAGGAGGGAGTAGAGGAGCAGAGTCTTATTTGTTGCAGACCCCCATTTACCTGGTCTTCAAACTATACTAGTCATATACTAGTGAAGAACTGCTGATGAAGACTTCTGAGTAAACTGAAAAAGAAGAACAGTTGCTGGGTGTGGTGGCACACAACTTTAATCCCAGAACTCAGGGAGATCTCTACAGGGTTAAAGTCAGCTTGATCTACACAGTGAGGTCCAGGACAGCCAGGGATACACGAATCTGTCTCAAAGACAACCAACCAACGAAACAAACAAAAATGAAGAGTTACCTTAAAAAATGAAGGAGGCAACTTAAAACCAAAATATTCTCGTAAAATTTCAAGTATAGTTATACTGTTCTAACCTACAATAATTTATTTTATGTGTTACTTAGGCAAGACAAAGTAAAAAATCTAAGTATTAAAAATTGTATTTTACAGCCGGGCGGTGGTGGTGCATGCCTTTAATCCCAGCACTTGGGACGCAGAGGCAGGCGGATTTCTGAGTTCGAAGCCAGCCTGGTCTACAGAGTGAGTTCAGGACAGCCAGGACAATACAGAGAAACCCTGTCTTGAAAAACAAACAAACAAAAAAAAAAAAACCCCCAAAAAAATGTATTTTACACTCATTCAGGCAATTTGACTTTCTGAATGACAGAATCAAAAAAATAAGACTCAATATTTATATGCTCAATGATAAACTTCAGACTAAATGAGGCTCTGTCTGTCAGAAGAGATCTCTCATTTCTGAGTTCCTAGAAATGGCACTGCTGGGCTTCCACAGATGCTAACAAGACAAATGTGCTGTTATCTGCACTTGAGGACCAGCTCTAGGAAAGGGAAACAAGACAGAAACTAAGAGGTGTTTGCTGAAGCTAAGCTCTGTGTATAATAAGAAACAAAGCATCAGAAGCAGGCGTGTGCAACAGGAAAGGGTCAGTAGGCGTGTGCAGCAGGAAAGGGTCAGCAGGCGTGTGCAGCAGGAAAGGATCCTATGTATGAGAGCTGATGCCATCACCAACCACTTATTTTTTGATCAAAGAATCTAACATTTTTGTATTAGGTACATAAAGATTGTTTGTGTTAGTAATCTGTTAAACTCCACCTCCAGTCACCTGGCAACAGCCAGGTACGCTCCTCCCCACAGTTACCTGGCAACAGGCAGGTAACCCTGCCCACTATAAAAGGGGCTGCTTGGCCCCTCCTCTCTCTCTTGCCCTCTCGACCCAGCGCCTGCAGGTTGTTGTCTCCTCTCCCTCCTTCCCTTCCCCCTCTCTCCATGTGGTCATGGTCGGCCTCTACCCTTTCTACTCTTCTCTCTCTCCTCCCGCTCTCCCACTCTCCTAATATTCCTCCCCTCATGGAACCGTCTAGTCTGCTGTGATCTGTACAAGCTGCGCGTGGAAATCCTTTTAGTTTGTTTGTTTGTTTTTAAGGTATGGTATAAAACTACTAGTGTAACGCACAGAGAAGAGATTTTTTTTCTAAGTAGAAATAATTTTATCTACTAATGGGACTCACCAAAAACCATTCGCCATAAGGCCGGATGAGGCCGAGTAAATGGACCTGCAAAGAGATGAGACGAAGTTAGAATAAACTGGATTGGTTTTGTTTCCTCTTTTCTTTCCCCATAACTTTTGAAACATCCTTCTTAACCTTGGAGAACTGAAGAAGTATGAACCCTGCATGCTACGAGGGAAATACCAGCCAGGGCTTTCTTGCTGCCTGTGACAGCCTGGACTTGAACTTGACCTCAGGAGCTAGTCACTAAACAGGGAAGGATGCAGAGCTATCATCTCTGCTTCTCCCACTCCAGTCAGTAGGGGCAGCAGTGCCCAGAGCCTCTCACTTGGGAACTGAGGGTCAGGGCACAATGGCTCCAGTAGGGTGCAGCCTAGAACCTGTTTTGTTTGGTCTTATTTACAATGTTCAAAACAGTCATGTCAGGAGAGTTCTAGGAGCATGTTTGGAGAGCACAGATGAAGAAATTGGCCCAGAATGGAGAAATAATTTGCCTACAGTCAGCTAATAGTGTAGTTCAATGAAGCTTCTCAGACAGGTCTATAATCACTGAGATGCAGTCATGAGAAGTATCAGAGTCTGAGGAAAGGTCTTTATTACAGAATATACCCAGGGCCCACAGACGCTAGAAGAGCCTACTGGAAGGTCCTCTTCTTGTTTAAAGAACCAAAGAATAGGGAATAGAAAGGAGGAAATGGAAAGCACTGTGAAGTAGACATCACACCCTTTCCTTCCCTAGTCTTCCAAGGGCTCTTCTATTACCCGTCTTTATAAAATGATGTTTCGCTACAGAACTAGGAAGAAGTCTAGAAACCCTGTTGGGATAATGTTATTGTCAACTGTGTGAAGATTATTCAAATGCTGATTTCTGTGCCAGCAGAAAGCTGAGTGCAGACCAGACTTTGGCGTTGTTATTTATTTATATGGCTACATCATATTTTGCAAACATTCCTTCTAAAAAGATGATGGCCTATACCAAAGGCAAAAAAGGAAGGTGGGGCTTCCGGGCGGAAAGAGGAGCTCTGGGAGAGAGAGAGAGAGGTGTGGGAGATTCATCACCCAGACAAGGAAATATGAAACTGAGGTGGGGGTAACAACCCATGTGGCAGAACCTAGTTTAGTATAAATGGGTTAAATAAATTATGAGGTAGTGTAAGGACCCAGGAAGAGGACCCCATCTCAAGTCCCAATTAGCGCGCACCCAAGGAGACACAAGAGACTGACTTGATGCAATGGCAAAAGGCAGTTAACTAACAAGGGCCCTTGGATCGAAACTCATCCCACGCAGGGGAGAGAATTTCGATGAAGATCCCAGGAAGTTTAGAACTTTTATAGGGGGAGGCACAAGGGGGAAGGGAAAAGCGGGAAATTCTGGCGCGGTTACATATGATTGGATATTTCAAACATCAGCACTTTGCGTAAGCAATCATTTTGACAGGCTGGATGGCCCACTATTTTTGACCATGAAGCCTCAGACCTTCTAGGATAAACACCAGGTGGCCCATTACTCACTTGGGCATGTTTAGACTGGTCAAGATATGTCTTTGGTTGTTTCTACATTTCTGGTCACCTCGTCCCTAGAGGGGCTTGATATTTTTATTATGGCTACTCTCAGAAAGCTCAGCAAGCTGTCCTGTGGTCTTTGCCAAGTTGTTTGTGGTCTCTGCTGAGCTCTTTAATTTTTACCCTTACAGTAGTTGGTAACAAGCTTACCTATAATGCCTAATCATTCATAAATAAAATCAAGTTTCCATGTCATTATTTAGGAGCTGGTGGTCCGAAGAAAGCCCCATTGTAGAACCTAATCCTGTCCACTGACAGGCAAAGGGAGTCAGCTGAGTGTCCACTTCTCTCTTGTTCAAGTCGGGTACACTCTAAACCACCAGAGGTAACCCAAGTTCCTCTGCAACTTTCTAATCACTACATACCTCCTAGACATCTATATGCCCACTTGACTCTGGGAATTATAAATTCCTATACTCAGGACTGTGCAGAAGTAATATATGTCCCAATTCTAGACAAAGAGACTTGAGAACAAGTACACTAAACGGCTTCTAGAAAAAGAATTCTTCAAGCTCTGTGTCACAGCACAAGGCATCTTATAGACTATCTGTAGTCGAGGAGCCCAAGAGGCTGTAGGGTGAGGGTTAGGAATTCAAGGCCAGCCCACGCTATAAAACTAGACCCCGTGTAGTGGTTTGAATAGGAATGGCCCCATAGAGTCATGTGTTTGAATGCTTGGCCCATAGGGAGTGGCACTGTTAGGAGGTGTGGCCTTGTTGGAAGAAGTGTATGGCTGTGAGGGTGGGCTCTGAGGCCTCATATGCTCAAGTTAGGCCTAGTGGGGCAGTCTCCTTCTGCTACCTTCACATCAAGATATAGAACTCTCACTTCCTTCCCCAGCACCATGTTGTCCTTTTTAAGAGTTGCCTTGGTCATGGTGTCTCTTCACAGCAAGAGAAACCCAAACTAAGACACCAAGTCTCAAAACTCAAAAGCAGGAGGCTTAGTCAGTAGCCATTTGTTGTACAAGTAATGAGAACCTGAGTTCAAATCCCAGAAGCCCGACTCCAACAGCTCACATTTATAATCCCAGGTCTGCAAAGGTGAGATGGGAGGAAGAGACAGAAGAATCCCCGGAAGCTCACAATCCACACACCCTGGCATATGTAGTGGCAAACAACAGAGACCAACACCCAAGGTTATCACTGACCTCCATCTGTATGCTATGGCACACATGTGCCTATACGTAGCCATAGCAACACGGGCACATACTTATCACACAAACAGACACATACACACACAAATTTTTAAAAATCAGAAAGTGTTTTACTGCTAATAACACAGAATATCACCTAAGCTCATCTGCTGATGGACGATGCTGGGCCTGGGTGCCAGCTTAGAACCATCTGGGTGGAGCTATCCAGGGCTAATTTGAAGGAAAACATGAGTTTGGAACTTCCATTCTCACATTCATTTCCATATTTTGTTTGAAAGTATGTGTCAAGGGTGGGGAGAACAGAGAATAAGATGACAACACCAGAGCAAGAGTAAGTCATATAATGTATACTGTACTCAGGAATGTATCCTCGTACAGTGCCTTCAGCAAGGCTAGCAGCCTGAAAGCTGCAGTTGAAGGAAAAGCTGCAAAGCCCTCCACAACGTCCACTGGGACCCCTGAACCTACTTCTAAAGCATTCTCCCCCAGGGAAAAATGAGTTTTATGGCCTATGGAAAGTGTGAGCAAGTGGCCTTTGGAAAGTGAACTATGTAAACACTTATGCTGGGCAAACATGGTTGCAAGAAGAGGCTGGCTGCCTGCTTTCCTTACATGTTTTGAAGCTCTGGAAATGCCTGTTGAAATCTGACTGCTTCCTTAGCTGCCTGCTGCTATGCTGGTGTGAGAAGAGGGCCTTTTCAGAGGTGTTTGGATGACTCATGGAGCTCTGCAGATAATTAGGTCAATGTTAACTCTCATGGGTTTAATGAAGCCCTGGCTCTCATGGGGTTGGGTTACTTATCTGGAGCTTGAGTTACTATAAAGATGTCTGAAGCTCCTGTATTTATATCTTCAGGGAACTTAGAATTCATTGTTGAAGAAACTCAAAGAGTTGTGAGTCTACTGTCTTGAGTTCTAGGCTACCAGTAAAAAGACATCATAATTTTATAAACACAGTGCTTCACAGAAGAAGCAAAATAATAAAACAAAATTCCAGTGCCACCAGCTTGGGAAACCTGGAGGCCTTTGCCATGGACCATACCCAGCAGCATTCAGTAACATTCAGAAGGAGCTTTCTAAGCCATACATAGCAGTCTACTTACTGAAGCATGGGAGCCTACATGCTGAATACATCTTGAAGAATGCTATTTAAAATATGAGTAGATCCATAGAGCATAACCCATAAGGCAGACTGCAAAAAATCTCAGAGGTGTGAGAAAAATACAAGGCAACAGTAAGCATTTAGAAATGGGTAGAGAGAACAAGCACAGAACATTCTAGAAAGGAGATATGGAAAGGGATTAATTACAAAATAGAACAACTTCTAAGGAAAATTTCAGAGGAAAGGTATGAATCAATTAGAAGCATGCACAAAAAGTTTTGTTTCTTTCTTTATCTAATCCTGACAGAAGAGGTTTATAGGAATCATCAGATTCCTACTTGATCCAAATCCTCAATCAGCAAAAGTAACTGTGATAACAGACAGCAAATTGTGTAAGTAATAAATACTCATTACTCATTGGAGCTAGTTCTGTCTTTGGCAAAACAAAACAAAACTGAGTACTGTACACCTCAGCTAGTAATAATAAGAACATTTCAGAAAAGAAGAGCTGAGCTGGGCATGGCAGTGGATGCCTGTAATTCTTGTGATCCCAGCACTCAGAGGCCCAGGAAGGAGAGTCAAGCAGTCAAGGCCTTTCTGTGTTTTAAAGTAACCTCGAGATAGCCTTGGAATACATAGAGATCTTGTCCCCACAAAACAGCTTAACAAACAAATAAAAAGAACAGTTATCAAGAGTTTAGCATTCATCTTGGTTTGCATGTGCTTCAGCTTCAAAGGGCTCAGGTGTCAGGAGCTTGGTCCCACAACAGAAATGTTAAAAGGCAGTGGGAGCTGTAGGAGGCAGGACCTAGTAGTGGGTAGTCATTGAGTGTTGCCCTTAAAACAAATAATTCAGTTCTCTTGGGACCCTGGTTAGTTCTCCTCAAAGGGTCATTATAAAATATTAAACCTAGTCTTACCATGTAAGCTCCCTCTCTCGTACATAATTCTATCATGAGACCATGTACCACGATGCAAAGGCAAGGAGCCTCACCAGGGCCAGTAACATGCAGAATGGAATTTCAGCTTGAAAACGGTGGGCTTCAAAACTTCCGTGCTTTATAAGGTATGTAGTCCCAGGCATTTTGTTATCACAATTAAAAAAACAAGACAACACATGGCTTTAACATTATTAATTTAGTTAGCTCTCAGAATACCTTCCTGTTATCCTCATCAAACAGGAGAAAAACTGAAACACATTTAAGGACATGGAGGCCACACAGCTGGGAAGTGGCAGAACAGGCAGTCTAGCTACTGAGTCTGTATTCATGATAGTTATGCAAAACTCATCTTCTAGATGATTTGCATCTCAAAAACTCACAAGGGCATGAGGCACAGGAGAACCTCTTTAACTTAAGACATGACTCACCATTGGGGAATGCTAACACGCTGATGATGAGAAAGAAGAAAATAACAGAAAGGATGCCTCTCCAGATGTTGTCTTCAGGAACAGAGTCATCCCTGAAAATGGAAAACGACATTGAGAATCCACCTTCAGATTTAAACAGGAAACCAAAGCCCAGAATGCTTCCCACAGTCAAATGACTGCAGGCTTTCTTTTGCCGAGCAAAGTCAGTACACACAGTTCACTGTTCAGTGTCACATCTTAAAACCAACACTCCCTAAATAAAGCCCAGGTCTTACATAAAAGGAAATGGCGGCTGAAGGTTCAGCTCAGTGGTGAATTCACAAAGCCTATCTCTGCCACCAAAATTTCTGTGAAATAATATATTTAAAAAAAAACTGATCATCTTAAACACCAACATATATTCTACTCAAACATTCAGTTGAGACCCACTGTCCTTCAAATACAATACCCCAAGATGTTAAAAACACAAGGTTTTATTTTGGAGAAATGTCTTGATCTTAAAAAATACAAATGATATCCTTCCTTGATATGGTGGCAAGGGAAATTTTCACAAAGTCAGAATAGAACAAGAAATCACCAGGAAAGCAGTAATGTGACAAGATTATATCAGCTATTCTTGGAAATGGACCTACAGGATATAGGAGGAGGGATGAAACAATGGTAAACAAGAAAGCAGCAGTAAGCAAAGAAAATCAAGAGAAGAAAAAAAAACAATAAGATTTAAAATCAGAGCAGAAGCAGAATGATTAAAAAAAAAAAAAAAAAAGAAAGAAAGAAAAAAGAAAATGGCCACCATTCCTTTCATGTCTGGCTTTCTAACATCACCCCAGTGATTGGAGTGGTCCCATTTGTTGGTTGATAAGTGTTCCCTGTCTACCTTGCCAGAATCACACCTCTGAAATAGGGACTTCTTCCCTTCTTTCTTGGAACCTGACACATGCTACACATTTAACAGACTTTGGACTAACTGTTGATGACAATGAGCTACTGTGGAAACACTATGGTAGACCCTTTATGTCGAAGGAGTGACACAGACAAACTGATAGACTAATAAACACTAACTGGTAATGTATGGTTAACTCACAAAAAGCAAACACAACGTGGGAAATAGCAATGTAAAACAAGAAGAGGATTTCCTGATCTATTGATAATTTCTGAGAAGCTTGAAAGAAGAAAACTCCAGCACTGCAGTTTTTAAAATACAAAATAAGTAGGCAGAAAGTATGACATGAAACAATGGAAGGAGATATTTCAAAGACAAGGAGACAACAAGAAGCAAGCAAAAAGAAGCTGAATTTATGACAGGCAGTGGCAGCTAGTCCCAGCACTTGGGAGGCAGAGGCAGGTGGGTCTCTTGAGGTTGAGGCCAGCCTAGTCTATAGAGCAAGTTCTAAGACAGCCGGGGCTATGCAGAGAAACTTTGTTTTGAAAAACCCAACCCAACCCAACCCAACCCAACCCAACCCAACCCAACCCAA